GACGTAGCATGTGAACACTTTCTCATGGCATTCCTGGCTTTTCTATTGAGTATATATGTCACAGATTCATTGTTCTGTTTTCAGGATAGTGCTCGCATTAGATACGACAGTTCAAAGTTTCCATACATACAAGTTTAGGGAACATTTGCGCATTGCAGGTAATTTTATGTTGCAAAGGCGTGCATCAAGTTGCGCCTGCAAACTGCCAGGACATCCCTGTTTTGCATGTCGCATATCAACTTTTTCAAGGAGGAGCTTGGCATGTGACATACAAAGCCCGGATGTACTCATGAATAGCGGCAGTAACATAAAATGGGGTGAGTACTATCACAAACAAGACTGAACTTTTTCCGTACGTACAAGAAATGTAACCTGTGTCGTTTTGGACGCATTGGAACATGTAATGTACTTCGTAAAAATGGTACATGTTCTGGCATGGCTTGCAACAGAACATGTGCTGCTGTGTGCCACGATGGTACATTTCCTGTAGCATACAGTACTTGTTCCGTGATGATGGTGTATGGAACTTGTTGTGGCTGCCCATATAGCAACAACATGTCCCGTACTAAAGAAGTATGAAACATGTTCTGTAGTCCGGTAATACAGTACATGTTGTGGCAACAAGGTTAGCATGTATGTGTCCCATATTTTGACAGGAGTTTTTCTAACAGTGTAGCCTTCGGTTCCGCCGCACGCGAATCTCTCTCACTCTGCGGAGAGAGCCATAAATTTGAAAATACGCTCTTCTCAAATAACGAAATAAAACCGGGTAGAGCATAGTGAGAGTCAAGCATAGCTTAGCAAGCACACGGTACAAGACAAAGTTTGAAACAGCGGCGCACTTCGCAGAAACAGAAGAAACTTCCTCACCTTCGCTTGCACTAGTCGACTGTCCGTCACTTGCGACGCTGCGTCTCACAGCTCTCAGTAATCGCTTGCTATTATTGAACACGGTATTCGTAAGTAAGCTATCTAAAATATCCGCTAAAACGGCTAAAACGTAAAAAGGAAGCGACGCTCACACCCTCCGGAACTCCAACGGCGGCCGAACGGAAGCTGATAGCAATAGCGATGGTCTTGCGCAGTTTTCAAAAGTCTCTTCTTTTTGCTCTTTGTTTTTTGAAGACAAAACTAAGCAAATCAATATATTAATAATAATAATGTCACTATATTATATTCGTAAAAAATTAAAAAGCGTTTAGTCTATCTGACGTTTTATCTAAACTTTCGGTTTTCTTTTTCAGTGTAAAACCGAAACTATCTCAAGCAATTTCTCCCTTGTCGCCAAGGCTATTTTGATTCATCTGCGGATGTTTGCACCGCTAGGATTTCGGCTTTTCTGGAAGGATCGGCTTTCGCGGCACATAAATAATGAGGGCAACCTTGTGTTTTTAAACAATGAGCGTGCCCGTTTTTTTTTTGACGAGGGAAAGACACGTTAAATTTACGTCGATTTTTTACAGTGTGGAACTCTCGATAGACGGTGTTGTTCTTTGTTGCAATTGTCAATATCTTTTCACGTGAATTGAGATGTCTTAGAGTTTTGAAAGATAAATCTACACCATGAAACACTTTCGGTGAAAGCTTGAGGTTGTTACATGAAGGCGCCGATTTCTCCAGCCAATTTCAGAGCGAGCTTCCATTCATAACACCACTTCGCTTACACGGTTCAGAAGTTGATCTGCGCTGCATGCGACTATGCAAGGTGGAGTATCTTATGTCCCCATTATTAGCCGTGGTTTCTTTTGCCTCCTGTCCTTTTGATTGCTGTGGATGCAGATATCTGAAACAGCGTATAGTGCGCTGAGACCTGCATTACAAAAACACCGGAATATCCTGCAAACGTAATTTGTCTACTAGCCTATGAGGCAGCACGCAAGTGGCGGTGCACTTTGAAAACAAAGTCATGTGCATGCTTTTTCATCAGCAGCATTAAACACTTGGTGCGATCGCCCTCGATCGCCTAGCTTCCGAATAGTGCTAACAGTTTTTTACAGTAAACTTTTATTCTTCAATAAAGGTAAGAAATACAGCTCAATGAGAATAAAAGCTATCTTTGCAATAAAAAAAGACTTTTCAATTGATAAATTTATAGAATTGACTAGCTAAAACAATTATTGACAAGTTAGATAACGCTACTTTCCGTGGCGTACAAAGTAGCTAATTTTTCTATTTTTGCTTTTTTTTAGGCGTAAGTCCATGTTGCATTTGCGACGTAAGTATGCTATGACAGTGCCGGTCGTTTCCCCGGGGAACTTTTGGACCACGTGGTCTGCAGTGAAATGAGAAATGAAGCATCCCTTTGTCACATTATGTCAGCTATACCCGGTGATACTTTTTAATTAACTGGTCTCAGGAAAATTGGGGGGCTCACTGTCATGTCGATTCACTCTTCATGTGTGTCGTGCGACACGGCCTACATTACATGGGTGAATAACCGTGGCAACATTTTTTTAAGTAAGTAAAATCCGTAAATTTACTTTTTTTTATTATTGCTGTTTTAGAGGCAGTCGTTTTTAGAGCCTAACACAATCAAAACTATTCACGAAACAACCAAGGGGCTTTAAGATATTTATTTATCAAATTTTGCACTTTTTTCCCTCGATTCAAGAACCACGCGCAGCAGGGGCGAGCGAAGTGGAAAGTGACTTAGCGGTTTTGACATGGCATATCGGTGATGGCATGTTTGTATGTGTTAGCGAGAACTTCTCATACTGGAGTTCTATGCATTATTTAATTTTTCTAGTGAAGTTACAACCCTCATAAAGTGCTGTCGCATTCAGCATGAACGAAGTTGCACACTTTTGACAGCGTGCCTTTGGTGGATGCTCCAGCATCATACTTCCAACGGTTCGACTGAAGGGAATACGTAAGAATAGCATCCTGCGCTCTGTCCAGCGCGCTGTTTTTAATCAGGCGACGAAAGGCAGAGTTTTAGCTATGAATAACCCAAAACTCGTCACCTTCTCGCAAATTGTTTCAGTTGGGCTAGAGTTTATTGATAGCCCCTTTAAAATTGAAAATTGAACATGTTCAATTACACTGTTAATTAAAAAAGCTAATTATACAACGTACTGTAACGTTTATTTACTCATCTAATGTCCGCCGAGCCCCACAAATATTCTGGGAAAACGGCATCGGCCTATCTATTGCGTTTTTAATGTGTTAATGTTAAAAAATCGCACTATATATATATATCCGTTATTATAATTTGAGTACGCCGACTGAAAGCACTGAAAGTACACCTTTAGTATACTTAAGTGCGCTTCCTGTATACTGATTTTGAACTACTTTTTACCGCGGGCACTACGATTCTACTACATGTACTAGTCTTGTACGAACGAATATACTTTAAGTACACTTAAAAAATACATTCAGTCCGAAGAACACACTGAAATTATACTTTTAGTATACTTAAGTGCACTTCTAGTATACTAATTTTGCACGACTTTTCGCTAAGGGCAGTACCAGTAGCACGTAGCAGGGCCCGTCGCTCTCATGTTTGCTTTAATCGAAAGAGCACGTTTTCAGACACGGAAGTACAAAATAATTTTTCAGGTCCGACTGCTCTCGTGCCATCATCGAAATAAGTCGCGTTTTCGAATCACACCTGAACAACCACAGTGCTGCCTGCCGGCGTCTGTAGACGCTTTCAGGCAGCTGTAACCCAGCTCGGAGTCAGATAACGCCGCGCGTTCGACTGATATGCGGATACCCTTAAAAAAATCTTTGTGCAGCCCCGCGAAGTGATAGCGTAAAGAAATGCTGCGGCCGAGGCCATGAACTACATTGTGCACACTGGAACACTCTTCTTGGGCAGGTAAGGATCACAGTAGGTCGTGGCCGTAACAACCTAACAACCAAAACAGAACTAAAACTGATGTCACATTACCGTTTCCATTTTTTGTGATGCAAATTAATTATATGCGCACTTCATTATTAACGTTTAAAACAAAACGAAATGAACTTCTATTTTCTTCTCTTTTAGAGTAAAGAAACTGTAATCAGTTCATTGCAGACGAATTCAAGTAAAAGAGACATAACGAAAGTCTTATTGGCACTGATATCACGATGGCCGTCCTCGCCGAGCTTTGGGTTCCGCGACGTGCCGTGATCGTTCTAGCCGCAGCTCTGGCCCCGAAACGTAAAGGGCCGCCCACACTAGCGAGAAAACGCGCGTGGCACGCCGATCGCGGCAAGTAACAAAATGTCGCCGAAGCACAGTCAGCGCCACGAGCGCGTGCTGAGACACGCCCTTTATCTTCCCGCTTAACCGATTTATCGGCGCGCCGGGCGCGTTTTCTCGCTAGTGTGGGTGGCCCTTAACTCTCCCGACAATATTTGCTTCTGTTTGCGCCGCCATCTTGGTGCTGGTGCAGAGCAGACGCAAAGGCCCATCATCATGATTCAAATGTGCGACTTTCTCAGCATTAGATTCAGTTTCGGTGTTATGAAGCTCATGCTATATTGCTTTGCTTTGTTGCGAACTGTTTAAACATTTGTGTACGACGGAAAAACGTTTCCTGTGATTTTAGATAAAGCTTCGGCCAACTGACCAGGCACGTAGCCAGGGGGGAGGTGGGGGAGGCGGGCACGGGGCCCGGCCCTCCCCCCCCCCCCCCCCCCCCGAAATTATCCATTTTGCTGGGACCTCCTCTCCTTCTCCCCTCCATACAGCATTTTGTCATCGGCAGGCCCTCCCCCCCCCCCCCCCCCTTTCCATAGCAAAATCCTGGCTACGTGCCGGTAACTGACAACCATGACTTTAAGCACCAATATGGGTAAGTGTCGTTACTTTGAAGCGTAGTCTATTTAGTGGCTCGTGTACCCTTAACGAAGAGCTGTTTGAGGTGCCGATGCTACTGAACACCTGCTGACGAGGAGCCCTCAGACGCTCGCGCGGAACGTGCAGGAGATTCAAATTAGATATCTCGCTCCCTGGCAGACGATCAGCGAGAGCACAGGGGAGTCTCTGCAAGAGACCACTCTTCGCGGGCCGCTCACATGTTCAGGATGCCGATGTTCTTGTAGTACTCGGGCCGGCTGCTGCGGTACTTCTTGAAGGCCGTGACCCCCATGCGGAAGGGCGTCTTGCCCTCGTGCTGGTAGAGCGCGTGAAAATCGTCGGCGCTGAACAGGTGCACCAGCGAGTAGCGGCCGGGCAGCTTCTCAGCCACGATGGGGCCGTACTGGCGGTGCATGTCCAGCGCCGCCTCGTGCCGCCGGTCCGGGTGGTATTTGCCTGGGGGCGGGACAGCCGCGTCTTTCAGGATTGGCGGCGAGTTGTATTGGTGCAACCTCCTGTGGTTCCCTTTCGTGACGGCATTACCTTGCGTACAACAAGTGCGATGGTGTTTGTAATGAGCATGGTGGGAGATTGAAATCTTTGCGCTTTGGAGCCACCTCTGCCAACACCGTCAAAATTGAAGTTCTTACATTCCTCTTATTCCTGTCGATGACAAATCCTTTGCGGACGTCATATTTAGCATTCGGCCAATCGCGGCAAGTAGACTACAGCGAAGCTTTCGATCGCGTGCCTCGCCAATGGCGCCGAGGGAGATCAGAAGCGTCACTGCAGTCGACGTTCCAGATTGACCAAACCATAGCTTCCTGTCTACTGATATTGCCTGCCCAATCGCTGAGTCACAACGAGAAATATCCTGAAAATCACAGCGAGGCGGGTCAAATCTTGCAAATCACGGCGAGGTAAATCCTGGTCGTAGCGTCACGAACGGGGACCATAAGATGGCCCCACCCAAACATCTCAGCGCTAATAGAGAGTTTAAGGGAACCGTTTTTGCATATCCTCTACGGTACAAAGGGCCCTCCGGTACGTACTGCGCATGTGCGAAGCTTCTGCGGTGGGTGACCAGACTTGGAAGTAATCCGTTACAAGTAACGGAATTACGTGTAATTAATTACTTTTCTAGTAATTTCGTAATTAATCCGTTACTTTTCTGAAAATATAGTTTGTAATCTAATTTCATTACTTTTTCAGCAACGCGTTACTGAAATTACTCGTTACAATTCTTCCGCCCCGTCAAAGGAAGAAAAGAGAGAGGAAAAAGGGCGATGCAAGAGCCTTCGCGCTTTTAGCATGGTAACACAAGACGGGGGTTCGCTCGCGAGGAGATCTGGTGCTGGCGAAGGAAAGGAATTCACGGAAACCGCGGCAGCGCAGCCAGAGCCCGTTTCTGGACTTGTTCGTACGTGCAGTCAGGCTGGGAGGATTCGACTGTCTACATGAAGGCAAGAAGCTTCGACTTGGAAAACGAACGGACTGCGTCGAGCGCACAAAAGAGCAGAAAACTAATGGCCCATAAAACCATCGAGTGGGAGTCGTGAAGAGTACGAACGTGGACACTGTGACCGTGGTGCAGATGTCCGCTCACCCCCTTCCCCCCCCCCCCCCCTTCTTTCCGCCCCACAACCTGCGTGTTGTCCCCCAAAAACCAATCAGCATATTTTTTTTGTCACACGAGACCGTCCTTTGCTTTTCGATGTTCTGCCTACACACACCCACCCTGCAGATAAAAAAAAATTGTAACGAGATCTTGACCCTGTTCATCTTTGACAGCGCTGTGAAAGCTAAATACTGGCTTTACCAACCAGCTTTGTGGTTTCTGTCACTTGACTTCGCGCTAGCGGATGCGTAAGCCACAAACATAAGGGAAGCGATGGCAGCAGCTCATTGGAACAGAAAAAGAATGTAGCATCTGTCAGTTCAAACAGTAACTTTAGACAGCAGGCGATAAGGTGGCCGGGGAGCACAGCCAAAATGGCTTGGGACTTCGAGGCTGAACCCATATTCCTAGAAACGAGAATGTTGGGGATTGTGCCTACGGGAACTTACTCCGACATTTTAGGAAAAGGGAACACAGCCCGAGTTTTCTGAGAATAAACAGTGGCTGACTTGGAAACAGTAGGGTGCCTCTACAGGAGTTAAGGCAGCGGAAGGCGGCTGTAAACGCGTGAATTACATTGAAGCCTGCTGTTCACTGAACATTCGGCTTTTTTTAATATTCTCTAAACGGAAAAATCAGCTTGGCTGAAATATTGTCCATGAATATTTCGTGTGAAGTTTCAGTTTTGATTAGTTTGATAACCAAGAAAAAAGATCAAGTGGGTCAAGGCCGGATAACAACGTTCAACAAGCGGTACTTTGAAATCTGCTCAAACGGAAGTACTTCATGTACGTCTTACAGCCAGTTGGTTTTAGTGGCTAAACCAGCCCCTATTTAGGCAATATATAGCAACCGTAGAAAAACCACATCTTCAGGAGAATCGTGTTCTAAAGTTTGCCGTTGCCATATTTCGAATGGTGTGCGTGCCTCCGCCACCCATGTGCAATCGTCACATGTTCATGGGATTCAGTTCTGTCCCGGGTGGACAGCGCTAGATTCGTTTATATCGAACACCTGTTCCAATCCTTTAGAGCTTTATAGATCCATCGTCGCAAAATTATTATCCTAAATAATCGGTAGATATAGTAGTGAATCTGTTTTATTTTTGATGGGGCCCGAAATTCCCCCCACAAACACGCAGTAGATATTGCAGCTATTTTGCGTGTTTCTTTAAAGTAGCGCAAAAGTAATTCAGTAAAGTAACGAAGTAATCAATCAGTTAATTTTACGGGGAGCAATTTGTAACTGTAGTCCATTACTTTTTAGGCCAAGTACTTGTAATTGTAATTAATTACTTTTTTGGAGTAACGGGCACAAGTCTGTAGGTAACACATGCGCACTTCGTATCGGAGGGCCCATCGTACCGCGGAGGATGTGCAAAAACGGTTCCCTAAAACTCCCTAATATTCAAATGGTGTAACCGCCGAGTCCAACGGTCACATGAACCGCGAGTGATTTGAAAGACATTTCTATTGTGGCTGGAGAGACTTGTATGTAACGCGTTACGAGCTGCGTGTTACGTACTATTCGCTACTTCTCAAGCAACATAAACTTCATTACTCAAGACATTTTGATTTTTTTTTTTGTTTTTTTTTAACAAGAGCAATGTCTGCATTTGTCAGTGCGACCGCAACACGCCTAGTCATAGCCTCCTCTATACGGAGAAAGCCTGGCACATCGACGACGGAGCCATAAGGCACGCGGCCGGAGGAAAACCGAGAGGAGGAGCGCGCGGAACGGTGAAAAATATGGTAGCGCAAAGCAGAAAGGGCAGTGATGGTGTGCGAGCGCTTGGGTCGTGCAGCGGCAGCTCCCCGAACCACGTTTGTTTACGTGTTTTCGTCACCATCGTTTTCGTGCTCCGTACAGAGGATAGCCAGAGGAAATGTATTAACTGTATGAGCGCGCCTGCTAAGCAGGGAACATATGAGTGCTCGGCTCGCACGCCTAGCGTTGCCTTCGCGCGCACGTAGGATGAAACAAAGTATATTTTTGACTTCGTTCAAACCTAAGGTGAAACGAAGTATATGGCCCATGAATCGCCGAACACTCCAAGCACCAGATACCGAACTTTCCGGGCAGTTCGTCGCACAACCTCCAGGCCAGAGATGGCAAAATTACTTTGAAAAGGTAATTAAATTCAATTATTAATTACTTTTCTGAAAACTGCAGAAATGTAATTAAATTACATTACAAATTACCGCAGACTAAACGTAATTACATTACATTACAATGACTCTCCAAAAGTAATGAAATTACTTTAAAATTACTTTCTACTTACTTTTGAATACCTTGAGGCAGTAATTCGCGCTCAGTTTATTTACCATATACTCCAGCGCAGTGTTTACAAAACAAGACCTCGTTTGACCCCACAACGCGTGTGCAGGAACCAGATCCGAAAGAAGCCAGGCACTGCGCATGCGCAGTGCCGACAGCAGCATTACCGCAGTGGTGTCACGTCAAAGAGCTGAGTTGGTCTATGTGTACCAAAACTCAGATCTTCCTGATTACACCGCAACAACCTTATGTGCCTCAAAGTGAACCATACTGAACCGTGCTTTTGCTGGTGCACACTACATAAGTGTTAAACCTGCTGAATAGCTTGTTTAGATGTGACTCAGAAAGACAGCCGACTCACCGGTATTCGCTGTTCATTCAACGGTGAAGGTTCTTGCTAAAAGGGCGATATGTTTCCGTCTTCCTGATTTAGAAGTTGTAGTCCGTGTCACCGTGTCAGTTTGTTAAGTCGGGCAATGGCAGCTCGTTCTCACAAAAAGTAATCGCGTGAAACGTTTCCCTTCTGCCTTGGACGCAATCTAATTCTATTCTTTCGAGAGCACTATACTCGTCGATAACGTTTCTTGGCAATGCAGTGGAGAGGAGGAGAGCCCGCGCACAGCTTTATTCGGTGCTCAAAACGGGAGAGGGAACCCGTGCCTGTACCCTCCACTGCATTGCCAAGGAAAGCTGCCGCCGAGTATAGTTGACCTATTCTCGGTCATTCCTTTCAAGGAGCATTTTTCCCAAACACCCGAAGAGTCCAAGCTTTTGTGCATTGTCACAAAAAGGGCCCAAGTAATTGCTAAGCAGAAGCGTCGTAGGTTGGGGAATGGCGCGAGCTTCCTAAATTGTGTACTTTCCCAACAAACGGGAGCCGATATCTGCTTCTGGCTTATTCCCGAGTAAACTTCCAAAGGGAAGGCAGCAAGGCATACCGCGAGCGGGACCTGCTTTGCTCGAGGACGCACGAAACGTTCTGGGGCTTCGACGAGGCATTTGGAATTAACTATTTATTCCGGTCGTTTGTTGTTCACAATGGTCGAAACTTACGGTTTGACCTTTCTTGACGAAAGTACAAAGCTGGGGATCTGTTTGCTCTGCCCTCTTAGGTTTTAAATTATGTTTGACTTCCTGGTGATGTGCCTGTCGCTTTGTAGCATATGAGCTGTTCATCCCTAAGCTGACGCACTGTCCGCTCTTAGGGATAAACGGTGGAAGCTACGTGTTTGATGGAGCAGTCGCACGTCTATCGTCCACCACGTAACCGCGCTCTCGTTCATACCCACGCGGAGAGAAAGGGACGGAACACGTGATTAAAAGAAGGTGTTGGATTGTTTCTGGTTATAGCTTGCAGCTCCCACAGCACTGCAAGCTTCGGGATGAACGAAGTATAGCATCGTCGTGATGACGCGACGCGGACAATCTGTCGTGCCTGTGGTTGTACGCCGTTTCCTTCCAGCGATGTTTACACGCAAGCTTTTCTTCTCCGCCTTTCCAGCCCCTCTTTGTGCGTCTATTTAGCTCTTCGTACAAGCCTTTGCGCTCAGGTGGCCGTCGA